TTTTTGTTGTGATATATAAATAAATGGAGTTATATCGACTCAACCGTTTCAAATCAATGCCGCCGGCTATCAATTCTGCCTGATATTTATGTACAATGATTTTGCTGAATATTTGTTAATGTTGGTTATTTAAAATATACTTTTTAATTAACAGTATTATAGGCGTACCCAGTTTACCATAATTTTTTCTTTTTTTTTTAATAAAACTTTTTATAAAACAATTAATTGTCGTTAACAACGAAAAATATAACACAAGTAGACATATTACATTATGGAAAAAAAGCTATTAAATGCAATGTAAGTTAATTTATTTTTTAAAATAGTGGTTTTATATCAGTTTTACATAAATTAATCTATCAATTTTATCATTTAAATAATCATTAAAAATGTTTGTTACATACTATTTTTTAATTTAATTTTTTTTTTTTTATTGTTTAGCTCTATTATTATTATATAAGAATCAATTTGTATCTCTAAATTTAATTCATTGGAAAATAAAAATATGTTTGGATATGCTTGGGTGAATTACAAGTTAAGTTATGAATGAAACGATTCACAACTATTAGTTATTCGTTCTGAAGAAATTGAAGACGATGCCCATATTTTTAGATTAAATTTTAATGTTTCATCGATATAATTATCACATAGATAATCACAAAATTTTTTTAACATCGTATTAAAATCAATATGTAAAAAGTTCAGTGGAGTCAATAATAAGCGGAATCAATGCATAAACAAATTTAGCGGAGCTTATATGTGGTGCAATCGATAGATTTCTTACAGGTAAAAAGGTCATTTCCAATTGATGTAGGTACGCCCAAATAAATACGTGATCTTTTTAAGTGGGATAAAACGTCACAGATCACCGTTTTTCAAAGCGGGATATTTTTGAGTTATTTGGAGACAGTGAAACATATGGTCCCGTTAGGTAAACAGGATGTCTTCCTTACACACCAAGTTAATCATCTAATGTAAGCCTACCTATAAATAGTAAATAAATATACGTAATACGTATGCTTTTCTACTTGGTTCTTGTCTAAATCTCAGAACTTTCATAACTATTTAAATACTTAATGAAAATTAATAATTTAACTTTTAGTAGTTTACTGCATTAACATAAATTAGCTCTTATGATTCACTAATCATCTTTGCAAACTTTTAAGAAACATATAAGCAATAATTTTAGCTTTTGTATTTTATTCACAGTAATCAAAAAAATAGGTGAGCAAGTGGGTGCCGCTCTATTGTTCAGTAGGTATTAAGTGGGTCACTGTAATGTACATATTAAATTTGAATTCAATGATACATCATTGTATAAAAAAAATTATTTTCATCGGAGATGGTCTAAAACAAAAATAATATCACCAAGTATATTTCATGTCATATTTTTTAATAGTGCTATAAAAATTATTTATTTTACTATTTGTAAAAGCAGTAGGTTAGATTAATAAAATTTTTGTTGATAATATTGCATTGGAAAATGGCATTTTGTATAAAATATAATTATATACATAAAAATTCTATATTCCCACAAACAATGTTTTTGAATTTAAAAAAAAAAAATTATAAATATAATTATTCATAGTTTAAATATCGTCCAAATTTGAACTTAAATATCAATAAAAAAATTATGCTTAGATGTTTTTTTAAATTTTTTTTTTTTTTTTTGGTTTCAGTATGAAATACTTATAATTTATAAAGAACTTTGTAATACAAGTTCAAGTCTTAGCTGTAAAAATGTCATATCTTAAACATTTTCAACCGCAAAATAATTTATGAATTTTCATAATTTTGATTTCATGAATATTTGTAATTTAAATGCTTATAAAAAAAAAAAATTATACCTATGTATTTTTATATTTTTATAGGGTAAAAAAAAATTTAAGTGGGACATTTTATTAAATTTTCAAGAATTTGGACCCAGTGAATAATTTTTAATCAACATTTATAAAAATAAAACTAAAACAACTTTCAAACTTCAGATGTCTATAAGAAAATTCTAACAACTCAAAATCTTTCAAAGTTTTATCACGTATAAAAATTGATCAACATCAAGGTTATTCATTTTTTATTTAATCATAACAAAATATCAAAAATCAGAAACCACTCTCAAAATTAAAAATCAAAGAATATTTTCGATTAATCATTGTGTATTTTTTTATTACGTTGTTCATACACAAAATTAAGAAACACAAACACACATATATCATTGTATAATCAATACATTTCATGCCGTTCAGAAACTAAAATAATATGAATTAAAAACTTTGGATTTATTCAACTATATTACAAGTATTTTCTAAAACCAAAGTTCAAAATATTAATCAGGAAAAAAGGTTATTGACAAAATACTATAATTTTACTCATTTATAATAATATTTGATAGATATTTCATAATATTTTATCAAAGTTTGTTATAAAATATTGTATATTATCTAAATTGTTTACACAGTTAAAATATGATGACAAATGGTCAGCCAACAGACTAAACGAATTACAATTTTCTAATGTCGACTGATGCGAGGATATTCGATATGATAGAAATCGTTTGTGTAGAAATGGAGAAATCTATTGCAAAATTAAATGGATAAAATAGGAAAGACGGCTAAATACACTGCTGTAGAGACAAAAATAAAATAATTCATTTTAACTGAAAAAAATATAAGTTGCTGTAAGTAGATAAAGTTATATATATATGTGTGGTGATAACTTTTAAGTAAAAGTAATTAAAAATAAAATATATTTATTAATTTAAATGTTATATCTAACATTATTATATGTAAAAAAAAACTAACAAAAACATATTCTCAAAAAAAAGTAACTCATAATAATAATAATAATAATAATAATATTATCTATGTTAATTTTTAATTTCTGTAAAACTCTGTTTTAAAGTCAAACGAATATCAAAAATCTAAATATCCGCTTAATAAGATAAAATTATTATTATTAAAAACAAGTATTCTTATGCTGAATCAAAAACAATCACTAATCATTTTATAAATCAAAATTATGCTTAAACATAAATTAATAATCTATTCAATATTATTAAACCATATAATTAATTAATTTAATTTTTATATGTACAACTCGACATTAGTTCATTATTTTATCCATAAAATTGAAATATCTCACTAAACTACTATATACTAAACTTAAATTGAAATTTGTTTAATTATAGTTAAAAATTTATAAAAATTTTAATATTTCTACCTATAAGTATTGAAAACTTAAGAAAATATTTCTCTTAAATTTGTTCTAATGAAATTTAAAACAAGTTTATCGTTCAATCGTATATGTACAATTTTTATGAGTGATTCAATTTAGAATTTTGAAGACCTTAGTTATTGATATATTCCATAGTTAATTAAATAAAATTATCTTTTTTATTACTCAATAAAATATTTAAAGTATTTTTTAAACCATTTTTGTTTGATAATATTATTTAGACTTGGTTAGAAACTTTAACATTTAACAATATCGAGTACCTCGTCGACCACTCAACACCTACTATTCCCGCTTTCCTTTTTAAATATTAAAACGTTAAAGACTCAGTTAAGTGCTATTCACAAAATCTAATCCAATAGTACGCTTAATAATGTCTTGATAATAATATTTAAACACATAAAAATCGTAAATCTTTAATATGTAATACAAATTACAGAGTGGTTACTTAGTATATATATTTACCTACATTTTTATTATTAATACTAAAATATATTTTTCATAAAAGCTCATATTTTTATTTGGTCGAATTAAAATTAATTTACTTTAACTACTCTCTCTTTTTTTTCCAATATTATTATTAAAAATGTATTTAATTATTAAATGTGTTGTATAAACATTTAAAAAACATTACAATTATTTTTTGTTTGTATTAACATAGTAAACATTTATAAGAATCGAGGGAGTATAAAGAAAATTGCGCGGAAATTGATTTTTAAATAGTAACGTCTTTGTATCACTCGACAAAAAAGGTATAACAATTTTCTACAATATTTAATGTTGAAAAACAAAAATGATAACTGTAATATAACTTTCACATTTTAACATTACTCCACTGTATAGTTTATATAACGGCTTTTGAAAAAAAATACCCCTTCTTCAGGACATTCATTAAATATAATTGTTTTTACAATGTATTATCTAATTTTAATTTTTAGGGTTTCTCGATAGAAAATAATCAATTACCATTGATAACTTTATACAATTATTATAAGTGACCTTAGATGTAAGGTGTCAAGTCAATGCTCTTAAATAAAAATATACAATACAATTTAATTTTAAAAAAATTATCAAATATTTTTGGTATGAAAAGTAAATTAAATTTATATTAACAAAAAAAAATATTTATTTACAAAGATTTTTATAAAGTGATCTAAAATTAAAGATTTTTATATGTCAATTATAAATTTAGAATAGTATAAAAATAATTTATTTGATTTTAGGCATTACCATTTAAAATATAACATTTTAAACGTTATTATAATTAAATTTAACTAGTTTTTTACTCTTTATTTAAAGGAAAATGATTGATTTAGCCCAATATTATATTATATCTATATAATATTTTAAAATTAAAAAAAAAAAAAAAAAACCTAAACAATTTATCTTTTCATAAATTCTTTTTAAAAAATAATTATTTTTTAATCTGTTATCATATATTTATTTTAAAATAGTATTTATCACCCCTAGTCTCAGAACCTATTTGTGTATACTTAATTACAAATTATATTTAACAATGTATATCTAATGACCAATTCAGGTGAAAATACATTGTATGAATGTACAATAATAACCGTAGAAATATGTATTTTATATTAAAATAATATGTTCTTAAATAAAATACCTACTACTCCTTAATCAAAATTATGTCATATAAAGCAGTAAACTTTTACAACAATATACCTGTATTGTAATCAGTTATGATGTTTTATTAAAATTAAAACTTAACCAATTTTTACCGAGCAATTATTTTTTTTCGTAATTTTAATAAGATGCTATTTAAAACTAATCCTAAAAATATTTCTAATATAATAGTGTGTTCATTAATATATATTATATTTTAGTTAACAGTATTGTAACTTTCTAAATTGCATCACCATTTTTCAACATTTGATTTAAATATGAATATTATAACAATATAATCTTTGTTTTATGATCGAATGCTCAAATTTCTCAATATCTCGTAAGACACTCAACAATTCTACTACAATCGAGCAAGCCCTCAATGAAGACAATACAAAAAATATATGTAACTTCTTTCGCAAAAATGACTTATTTAATAAATTGTAATATATTATTACTATTAACTGTACATACTTAAAATTTAACTGCTATCCAAACTTTTTATTGAAACTAATTAATTAATTAAGGTAGGCTAATTACCATTATTGTTGAAGCCTTTAACTTAAATAAAAAAAAAAATCTTTGTTTTGCTTTATATCAAGACAAAATTTCAATAGTTTTATATCATGCATAGTGTATTTTAACTTTTAATTTTAACTTTTTTTCTAGACATATTAAAAGTTATTGTTAATTATTTCATAATTTTTACTAACTATCTTTGATCTAGTATTATTTACAGTAACAACAATAAATCCTAAACACATTTCACGTCCAAATCCGATCACTGATTTTGTGATTGACTACAGACAGCTTAAGTAGATATAAATTAACGTTTAGATTGTAATTTGAAATACTTATATATATATATAATGTATTATTAGATGAAAGGTAAACGTGAAACTTACTGGCAAATTAACAAATCATACGTGTCATGTTGACAACTTTCAAAATTAAAATTCTTTTTTCAATTTTAAAAAATATGTATTTATTTAACAAAAACGTGGAATAAAAGTATATAAAAATATATTATTAATGGGTATTAACATATTATTAAACTATAAATAACTATTTTAATAAGCCCATGTTTTCTGAAAAGTACATAACGCCCATAATCATACAACATGAATACACAATTCTGCAGTGGTGGCTAAAAGAATGTATAATACTCGTATAGTAAAAATCTTTTACAATTCGATCAATAATTAACTACAATATTGAATTTTTTTTTTTTTTTCAGCTTAACACACAGCGGCGATGTCACTACAGAATGAAATATACGACGACGGTGGTGGCAAAGGTAGCCAGTTAAATTTAACAGCGGGAAATACGTGGGACAATGACTTCATAATGCCCAAACGAGATCCTCTGTACATAGTCGTACCGATGACGATCATGTACTCAGTAATATTTGTGACAGGTGTCATAGGAAACACGATCACTTGCATGGTGATCGCCAAACACAAATACATGCACACAGCCACCAATTACTATTTGTTTAGTTTGGCAATGTCCGATCTCATACTACTGGTATCCGGATTACCGCAGGAAATGTGGTCCATTTGGTCCAGGTAAGTGAAAACGACATAAAAATAAAACAAAGGTACTTTTGAGATAAAATGAGTAAATCTAGTGAGTTTAATGATATTATTAGATTTTCATCTATATGTATAATATCAACGAGAAACTAAATTAAGTACCTACGTTTTTTTTTTAGTGCCACTGTGCAATTATTACAATATAATATTATGACATTTTTAAACTAAGTTTGACGTGATCTACGATAGTAATTAGTAGCTCATCTATCATCATTCATATTATTAATCACCGCTACGTGGCACAAATAGTACGACTAAGTCGACCATGCCCGATAACGATGCATAGCGGGACAGGGATCGAATTGGCAAAGGCCTATCTCACTTGGTTGTGCTGTCGAACCGATACTACCTGCACCGTATGACACCACATACCTTCGAACAAATTATTAATTTTTTTTCGTCCCACTATTTCTTCTCACACATTTGACCACAACTCTAAATTCTAACTCTGTATGAGCCACATCAACATTATACCACTCTGCGACCAAACAGGCCCACCATTATTAAACTGAAATCTCTCGTCAAATTGGCTTGTAGGCAGAAAATCAAACACCAGTCTTCTGGTTAGGTAAAGAATACTATTCATTTAAACTGGTCTGTACAATAATCAAATTGTACATTGGTAGGTACCTACTGGAATTTTAAATTGACTTAATAATATTTCATCTTGTAACTTTCGGCTCGTATATATTGGAATAGTTTATGTAAGGGAGACCAGAGATTAATGTAATATTTTACACATTTTTTTATTTTTAAGAAATTGATATACATATTTTTGATTTTTGATGTCATCATCTGATAAAGGAACATGATAGCTATTCAATTATATTATAATACCTGCTTGAATATCAATCTTAACAATAAATATTTTTAATTTAATTAAAAAAAAAAAATGTTACGATTGTCCCAAACTCTGGGGTTAAATGTTATACATAATATATCTTAATTTCGTTTTTCAATGATATTAATAATATAATTACTTATGATTTATTAAATTAAATATCAAACCTGATAAGTGATAACAATGACATATAGGTAGATATAATCAAACTATACTAGACTCAAATCATCATGATATATAATTATTATCTACCTATTCACCATTAAAAAAATCTTAATTAAAATATAACATGATAAGTAATGTATAATTATTAATTTATTAATATTTAACCTATTAAAAATTTTTTTTTCGTTTTCGAGTCATTTTTTGAACTAAAAAAATGTATATTGAAAATAATATAATCGATTTTCATGGGTAATATTAGATACAATTGACCCTAGTCTATTTGTTACTATTGGCCCCATAGGTACAGAGCTTTTTTAATCAATACAAAAAAAAATTATGAACTTACTTGAGAAGTTAATTTATTATTATATAATCGTAATCTCAAAAGGTTTTACTTGAAGTTGATTTAAATAATAAATTGAACAGCGTACATACGACGGCGTAAAAAAAAAAAAAACAAAAAAAATTCACTTTTGAATTTAAAAATAGATTTTTACTAATTATTTAATTAACAAAATGCGACAAAGCCAAACTGATTACAGGATAAAATCACAAAAGTTGGGGAAAAAATGACGCACATACAACCGATAATTATTGTATAATATCATAAAAGAAAATATTCAACATTTTACAATTGACCCGCATTACGTTTATCCCCGACTTCTCCTACTATTTAATACAAACAAGCAAGTAAAGATGAGGACACTCTGTATAATATATTTACGATTACCTGATAAAAGTTCCCTACAGCTATACACTGCATTATAATACTTTAACTAATCCATCACTAGGTGGTTAACTTTGTATAAAACCACAGAATAAAATTAACCTTAATCTATGAATAAAATGTGATATCATCATTATAATAAAACTATGGTTATCCAGATGGACGACTATGAATTGGTTTCCGGATTGTCTACAGGTAACATACGAATTGGTTCCCGCAAGTTTTCATGATAATACAAACTTGTTAAATTAACTTTTCAAATTATTATGATATATTCAACCAGCAACAATTTCCTTCCCATTTATTCAGACTTAGGACTGTCTAGAATTCAAATAAGTTCGAATAGTTCAAACAATATTTAGAATACCTATGTAACTAGTGGTGTTCGCGCAAGTTATCGGGTGCTATGAAATAGAAATAGATTTTATGGCCCTAATCGCGACTCCTCTTCCTTGGGGTCAATGGCCCCCTACAATATGTTATTTTGAGATCAATTGTCCGATATTATTTTCACTGTTTTATTTTCGCGATTTTGACTTTCGTGATTTTAACTGGCACCCGTTCAAAAATATTCATTTTAAAATACATATTTTGTATATTTAAATGCATATTTTTAATGCATATTTTGTATACTTAAGTGCATATCAGGTGATTTTTTAGAGCTACAAGTCTTCTGCCCTACTGATAAATAATTTTATTCGGGAACCAATTCGAACAGTTGTATACTAGACAGTATTTTTTTCGGGAACACATTTAATTGACCCGGGAATCAACTCTACGTTTGCCATCCAGATGAATATAATCAATTATGACCTGTATAAGTATATTATGATTCTTCGAAAGTAAACTGTAATCCAATTCGTGTTTACAGTATACCAAAAATCCGCAAATATATAATATATATCTGTCTATTTATCATAAACTGTGTAATAAATTGAAGCCTAAAATTCGTCATTAAAGAGATGTATGTTTACAAAATGTATATGAGTACAACAATACGCGTGTTATATATTATACATTCACCTCTTTAATAGCAAATTGTTTTCTACAATACTATTTAGTTAATTGTTAATATATTATATGTCTACAACGGTGTATACGATTCATCGAAAACTAATATACTTAACTGCGTAAATTTTGTGTGATATAACTAGTTCAATTTCAAGCTTAACTTCCAATAAAAATATCATATTCCTTATTAATAATTGTATTAAAGATGAAACGATTAGTATAGATTACATGTTGAAACACTAAAATTAAGTAGGTACTATTACACTGCAACGTGGACCCAGAAATTCCAATCATGGTATTGATTAAATGATGCAATGTATATTATATATATATATATGTGTGTGACAATTTTATTTACACTGGAGAGGCAAATAGTTTCACTTTCCTCTTCAATTTTATCATTGTTTATCTAAAGTAATTATGCATATTTCCCCATGGATCTCAATTCGAGACTTCTATTAAGAATAAAATTACCTATAATATTTTATTTTTGTCTTGTTTATTTGTTTTTTTGGGAAAGATAGATCAAAGTTGTTACAAAATAAAAACGTATTGCCCTCCCCTCAATAAATTATTGTAGATGATGACCTCATATAATTAAGAACTGAAGAATAAGGACATTTATTGTTTATAGCAATTACGTATAATCGTTTAACTATAGGCAGGTAAAGTTTAATTTTTGCAATAATATACATACTATATAAATGATTAGCTTACATTTAAATTTAACTACCGGTATATCGATAATATTATAAATTGTTATTAATTTCTTCAGACGAAAAATACGAATAAAACGATAATCAAATTTTTTGAGAAAATATTTAAGTAGATAAAGGTGAGCCGAAACAAAAATATTGTGCTTGAAATATAAATATGAATCAATATAATATTCGAGTGTCAACTACATGGTTAAATAATAACCAATAATTCGTTTACAATAAAAGTAATGGTAATAATTTACAGGTATCCGTACGTATTTGGGGAAATATTTTGTCAACTCAGAGGTCTGTTTTCTGAAATGTCTGCCAATGCTACCGTACTTACCATAACAGCGTTCACGGCTGAGCGGTATGTAGCTATTTGCCATCCATTCATGGCGCAAAGCATGTCAAAACTTTCCAGAGCCGTAAAACTTATCATCATCATATGGCTGGTCGCTGTGTTGTTTGCTATACCTCAGGTTAGTCTCAGCTAAGACTATGTGAAAAAATCGCTTACTTATTTAATTAATTTAAGTTTTACAAAAGGCGTATTCCCAAAAATATACAAAAAATCAGTAATAAGTAATATTTATAAGGCATGAAATCTAAAAGAATAATCTAATTATCAATCAATTTTGTTAATATAGGTAATAGTAAAAATTATTGAAAAATGTGCAAAACTTCAACTAAAAGTTTCATTAATGATCAAAAAAACGTTGAATGAAAAACAATTTGAATTTTAGGATGAATATTTATTGCCATCATACAATCTCCTATTTTTCTAATATATGGAGCATAATTAGACAATGACAAAATATGTTTTGATATTTTTGGACATAGTGAAAGCATTTGATTCAATATCAAATGAAATAATTTTGATAACATTGAAAACAATAATATGATATAACGTATTTTGGTACTGATTCAAACCATATCTCTTTGATAGATCCCGAATAGTCGAAATTAATTATGATATTGTAAGTCAGTATTTCTCGAATTTTTTTGTCATAGTCCCCTCTTAAATTTAATGGGAAAGTGTCGAGATTCTCTTAATTAAAATCATTAATTATTTAATTTTTTTTTTATTATATATTTGAATCGATGATTGCAGAAACGACATGAGTCAATTTTTAAAACTTTTTGATAATTGATAAGAAGAGTATAATTTAAATAATTCTGAAAAAAATTCTTATTTAAAAATAAATACTTGTAGAAATATATTATGCACTAATTATACATAATTTGTGTATATAAATAATATGATGCTTTTTTTATTATTGACTTTCAAAGTTTTCTGATTCATGACGTTTCACAAAAAATGTGACTCGTGTCATTTTTTCAATCATCAATTCATTTAAATTGCATGCACTATTTCACATTAATAAATTATTAAAATGTATAGTAATTAAATGTTTTTTGATTCATTTTTGAAACAATTTTATAATTGTAATAAATTTTAAACTTATATAAATATATATATATATATTAAATAAAATAAATATTTCGCGGCCCACCAGTCATATAGCTACGGTCCCTAGTTTGAGAAGCACTGCCATAAGTGATTCATGTATTGTTAAGAATAGCATACCGTAAGGAACAGAATTAGATCCATTGTTATTTGAAATTTATGTCTATGGCTTATTAAATTTGAATATAGATGGTAACATATTAGCTTTTGCTGTAGATAATGTATTATTTTTGAGGGTAAAAATTTGCTCGATGTAAAAAAAAAATAGACTTAGGATTATCAATGGTTAATAAATGGTATACGAAAAACAGTTTAATGCTAAATAAAAATATATCAATTGTTATTCCTTTTGCCTTGTCTAATTCAAACACATCAGGGAAAATAATAATAATTATAAAGAAAAAAAAATATAACAAATATTTGTATTAAAAACTGTGGGTATAGTTCAACCAAATATTTAGGAGTAATATTTGATGAACATCTAGAAAGAAATCTCACAGTGAAATGGTAGCAATGCGTATCTACAACAACAACAAATAATTTGAATTCCATAATAAATATGAAACAAGGAAGAAGGAATAGTGGAAATTTAAGGTTAATTAAATCATATACAACATTAATGGGAAATTATTATATAGATAAATGTATAAAATTATTCAATCAACTACCTGTAGATATTACATTGACTGAGGATAACATTAAATTTAAATTAAGGATAAAACATTTGTACATGTGCTCACTTAAATAATATCTCGTTATTATTATCAATAATTAATTTTATTTAAGTTGTTATTATTATTCAATAGTATCTCTTAGCATAATAAAATTATATTATTGCTATGTATAGATAACATATGTAAAATTTAATAAATAATTAGTTATGAACTCCATGGTCCCACCACAAGTACGAGAGAGTATGTATGAATATAAATATTGTGTATTGTATAGTTGAACTTTTATTTATTATAAATTATCAATTATTATAATAGTGAAATATAATAGACAAATGTAAATTAAGCTCAACGAAAGAAGAAAATTGTAAATTACGCTTAATACATTTCTATCTAATAAATTTTATTTGATATATTTTGAAGTAAGTATCTATTTTCGTATCAGAAACTGCACCTGAGGAATTTTTAATGTAATAATATTATTTTTATAGTTGCAATTTAACATAAGCTTAAGATGTGAAAGAATACTACATGGCTGTCACTATCCATCAAAACTTGTTTTTAATTTAGCTAAAATAAAAAATGTATTAAAGTTTTTATCTAATAGCATAAAAATATTATTGCGATAGAGCTCTTCTATCTTTCACTCTAACGTAAATTTATCAAAACTATATCCTACTAAATTAATGAATCCATATTAATGATAATTAAAAAATGTAATCATGATGGTCTAAAAAATGGATAGACTCAATAATAAATCTTTCTAGGTTACATTTTTAGATCCATTGGTAGTTTTAACAATATAAATAAATTTAAGAGTTGTCATAATAACAAACGTGTTAATTATCATTAAAAATAATTTCAATTTATACTGTAACATAAAGTATTAAAGTTTATTAGTTTATTAGTTAATTCATAAACTAGTAAGTATGTCTATGTTAATTGAAGATAGCTGTTATTTAATAACTTTATTTTAAACAATACATGTCTAAAAGAAAATAAAGTAGCAGTGAAATAGAAATTATTTATTAATGCCCCTATTTTTTACTTTGATAAATCTAGTAATATTATTATTTATTAAATATCATATCTATTTATAGTATATGAAATTATTAAAAAAAATACTTGATGAACTATACGATTATATAGAGTAAATAATGATATATTAAATTATTTTCGTAAATCACTATTGTAATTCTACATTATTTTCACATTTTAATCATTGTAATACCATTTTTATGCAGTACAACAAGTTATTCCATTTTTTTAAAGTCTTTTTTTTTTTTAATTTGGTATTTATAAGAGTCATCCATAATACTAATACAATTCTTATGTAGATTTAAAATCGCATCTTTAATAAACGTTCGAATTTTCACCAATTATAAATATACTACAACGTTAAAAATAAATACGGATAAATCAAAAGTTATATTCTATAAGACATAGGAGCAAAAAATTCCAATACTTACCCACTTTAAAAATCTTAAAATTCCCATTGAAATTCACTATACTCGTACTGATTTTACTACAACACGTTTTCACTTATAATACAATTATTCACAGATGCCCAATATAATATAGTCTAAATTATAATATTATTTTATAAAAAAATTAATCAAATACGATGTGTAACACACCTTGCTATTTAAAAAACAAGTTACTATTACATTAAGTACTCGTTAATACTTGTTTAATGTCCTCGTACATATAATATTAAATAGGTAAATTACATTTCGAAATGTATAAACCGCAGATAATATAAATAGTGAATTTAATGATAAATTCCCTATACTGAGAAAAAATACTAATAAGTGGTTAATTTTTTTTTATTTTTTATACAATTTCAACACACGAAATTTTAGTTAATTATCATTAGGGTAAATATTATTAAAACTTGGAAAATTTGAGTTAAACTAAATTCGCTATTGATATTCAGTGTCACTTAATTTTTTAGTAGGTGAATATTTATTATGAAATATATTTAAAGTCATATATATATATATATTTTTTTTTTATCGTCAATGACTATTTAATTGAAATAATGTGTATATTTTTCGTAAGGTTTATTTGTCTGTTTTTATTTTTCTAAAAAAGGATATTTTATTTTTTATAGAATAAAAAAAAAATGTTCACATAAATCTATATTTAAAATTAAGCAATAATGGTTAATCATATGTTTATTGTTCATTATTTATTAATATTTTATGAATATTTACTTCATTTTTTTATTATTATTAAATCGAATAAATACTTTTTATTTTTTAGTAGAATTTTTATCAAAATTCAAAAATCTAATTTATCTGTTAAAAACACATTTTTCATTATTCGACTTAAACATTAGTCGACTTTTTCATTATTTTTTTTATTTTAAAAATACCCTTCTCTAATTAATGTTGACAGTATCTACTTTAGTATTAAATATAATTATATCTTTCAGAATAACATGCACTATTATTGTTATGTTTGATCACTAACAAACAAGTAATCTATTTATACTCCTAATTACGAGTATAAGCCCAGAAAGTATGAAGAAATCCCTTTAGGTTTATAATTAATTATCCTTTACACCGATAGGTGGATCATTTAAACCTACAACGAGTTGTTAATCCGTTTATTCAGTTATTTTGTTCTACATAAATACAAAAGAGTCAGGTAAATGTAGGTCACTTATTCCATAATTTGTCTAATATAACATTACGATTACATTTATAGGCTAATTTAATGGGCCAATATATTATTTGATAATCGTACAGATTTTTTGTTCATACATTTGTAAGATTTTATTTTATTTAATATAATATTAAATATCTCTGTAAGTTGTAAAAAAAATAGATTGTAAAATTAAAATCTTTCTTGCTATATTAATAACAAGTATAAAATACTACAACATTGAGCGCAGAAATAAGTCTAAAATATTATGTTCCATATTTTGGATATCTCACAGGTACATAGTCACGTAAGAACTATGTAATAACTATGATAACTTATTAGCAATAAGTATATATAACACTTATTTCTTAATGCTTGAAACTAGTTTTAAAATGTAATTATATCTTTTATAGTTCATTTAAACTTATTTTACACTTAAAATTTTAATTACGTATAGTATAAAAATATGTTACAATCCAAAATGCTAAAATAGTAGTTAATAATTTTAAAATACATACTATTGTTGTTTCAAATAAATAACTTCACTCACTAAAAATTATGACGTATAACTGTCAAAAACATTTATTTTCGAACAATTCATTAAAATATTCAACCCCACTATCTTATGTAATTATTTTTCATTCATGAATTAAACTCATGACTAACATTTTAAATTCACACAAAATAAAATTTAAGCAATAGTCACTATACGTTCGCAGTATAGTCAGTATGCACAATAATATTTTGATAACTTTATATTGAGGCTATAATGCTATATATTATTATTTCATTTCGTTATAATAAATTGTGTTCAGTTTAAATTAAACATACATTTCTCAGTACTCGTTTAAATAAATACATTTATTTGTTATTTTACAGTTCCTATAATTTTAAACACGAATTTCGATTTGTAATAAATAAAAAAAAGTTTTTTTTAAACAACAGTTTATTTATAAATATTTTATTTACATAAGTGTAAGTATTATTGTGTTCATGAGACTTTAAAACAGGGGCAGCTTTACGAGTTTTTAAAGCTCAAATCTAAATATTTTCGGTGAGAAAATAAAGCGCAATAAATTGAATTAATGTATTACACTATTCACAAGAAACAGTAAAAAAATAAAATGAATTCTTTAGTACCTCTTTGATTAGTTTTTAAATAAATGTTATTGCTTGATTATAATTTTGACAGTTTTAGTAAATACTTTCAATATATTTTTTTGATTTAAAGAATGTTAGACTGGATTTAAACTACCTTTCAATTAAAATCAACATAATATATTTTGTCACATATTGTTATAATAATTATGTATTTATGTTACGCATTATACAGAATGATTTTTCATAAGATCTGGTTGAAATATTAGACAACATTAGAAAAAAATTCAACATTTTCTACAAATTAGAAAACTCAGATTTTTCAACTTAATCTTTTAATTATTGTTCAATGATAATACGAGCTGTCATAATTTTCTATAAAAATGTTCTATTTATTCAAAACATTTTATACAGCCATTATATCGGGTTATAGTACACATTGGATAATATGAATCCTGAAAATAAAATCGTATAATTTGTATTCAATTAATGTCATATAAATAATTTTACGAAGAGATTAATCTTATATTTTGATTTAAAAAGAATTCACATTTTTTGTAGTTAAGATTAATTAACTTATCAACTTACCTCAACAGTTAATACCTATTTGAAACTATAAATTAAAATCTGTTTTTTATTTATTTATTAATATTCTGTTCTAGAAAACATGTTTTATATGATTAATATTTTATAATGACCAAATAAAAAAACCAAAAACTATAACGTAATTGTTTTTTTTTTTTTTTTAATCCAAAAAAGGCTAAAATTTAAAACTCCGAAATAGCCTATGACTCGCAAGTTTACCCCCTCCAAACCTATGATTGCACTTGATACTTATGCGAAACGGTGAATGTATAATATATAATAACTTGATTTATAAATGGGTAAATAATATAATTATTATTTTAAAGTTTCAAGCCTCTTGAAAATAACAATTGTTATTCTACATATTACAATATGTTATGTACCTACATATATGACAGTAATAAATGCATTTTATGAATACATTAAACTCGTAAAGGCGTTTATTAATTGCGGGAAAATATAAAAATAATAATTCTGCTTATTACCACTAAAATCTGTCAAAACCTCAAATCCTCAGGCATTGCAATTCACCGTCTCGTCGTGGGACGGTTCGTCAGAACTGATGCAGTGCAATATTCGAAGTATATTGCTAATGAACACGGGCATAGAACTGTCTACCGTATCATTCACATTGTCCACGCTGCTGTTTTTCTTGCTGCCAATGACATTGATTACTGTACTTTATGCACTTATCGGACTTCGCCTCCGGCGCTCTGATAAACTGAAGCGCACCATCACAGTACGATCGACCCACGGTGAGAAAAAAATGTCGTCACCAGAGTACAGGGCCAACTCGTCACCGAAAGTCCTTAAAATGCTCGGTAAGTACATAAATGTATTTCTATATATTATCATACCGATACATAAATATTTAATACTTTTATACCTACCGTTAAGTACATTAGATATAAATACCTACCATTTAAACATGTAAACATTTTTATGGTACATCTCCGACCTGTTTAATGGTCCCCGATCAGTTAATAAGAATATTCAGCTTAATAATAAAATAAAAACAGTTCCGACTGGATACTGCTAATACAATCATATGTCCACAGTGTGCAATTTATATGCATAGAATATACTACGTAACTCTAAATCTAACTTAGTTCCATGGCTAAATAAGTTATATTTATTACAGTGGCGTATCGAAAAGGTGGTATGATGGGCAATAAGACACAGGTCCGTGACTCTATAAAGGACTCATTAGGAAATATATAGAATCCACGAAACAGATTATCATTATTAAAAAATTTAAAAATATCACAGTCTTTAGAAAAAACTATGTCTTTGTAAAATTAAACTGCTTAAAAGTTAATTTAATTTAATATTTAGAAAAATGACTGACACACGTTTATATATTATTTTATGATATAGTGTTTGCTCATTGACGTTTGCGATAACAATTTTAGAAAAGATGTAACGTAGGTACTCTATATTTAAAACGATATAGCATGTTTCAATTATTTATAAACTATTAGCCGAAGCCAATATAAAAATACATTTTGTAGTTGGGTACATATCGCTTATACCACCTTTTCCAAATTTATAAGACTAAGGGTTCGCTAGATTATTTTGCCACAGGCAACAAGGTTCTAGTTATGCCACTGGTTGTTAAGCTTTATTTACTATTTAGTTAATTTATCGTTGTTTTTCAGCATAATTTATAGTATTGTAAATTATGTAATCTATACTTGTTTTATATATTGACGTTTTTAGTACGTAAAATTGACGGTTTGGGCGTTAACAAACAAATAGCAATAATAATCGATTTTAAAACACTTGTAAACGCCGATTACTTCCAACGTATAAAGGTATATTTACTAATAAACAAACAAAGTTAAATATAATACTATATACTATTGTTTTGATATTTGTCATACAATGTAGTGAGACAATCAATCACTATTCAAGAACCTTTTTGTAAATTTCTATCTCTCATACATTAAAGCTTATCCTAGTTTTTTTGTTAAATGATTAAGATTTAATATGACATAGCATTTCAAAAATAATACCTATAAATTAGGTTCTGCGAGATTTTTAAGTTTAAGTATCGAAACTATTTACTTATCAATAATAATAGATTTTTTATTTTTAAAAATAACTAATTTCACAAAACACAATTAATATCAAAAGTAAAAAATGGAATATAACGCAGCAATATAGTATACTAGTGTATTCCAAGTTTAGGAACAGTTTCCAATAGCAAAATATATACGATTGATTCATAAGATGGATTAATTACTATGAAAGATAAAAATAACGATTATAAAACATTAATTTACCTTTGATAAATTATCCCTATGGATGAAAAAATTTTCCATGAATAAATTTCAAACTTTGATTTACTACCTACAAAAACATTGACACCACTGTAATCGTGCAAATAACTAATTAATTACATAAATACAATTTTAGGTATAAATTGTTATAGTGTAAATTAAAAATATCAAAAGATAATTTAATATACCAATATATAATTTATATTTATATTAATATTGTATCAAGCTGTCTTAAGTATGGCCATATTTTTAGTTTTTTCGTGAACACTTTTATATCAATCAATATGCTACGGTATAAAACAATTACATCTTTATTATGATTCTTTTATTGCTGAGATACATGTCAACAAACCTTAAAACTAATAATACTTAAATATTAGCCCTGATAAACAGTTTTTAACTACTGCGAAAGTTATTTCCAAGACCATTAATTTACACAAGATTTTATAAATGTATTATTTGATGCGTGTTTCTTATATTATCACATGTGTGATAAATATTTACGAACAATATCTTAAACTGCATTATTACAATAATGAAAATTTCGGTAATAAATATATTTGAGTACTAATAAGTAGTATTATGACGCTTTTTTTTAATGCTAAGTTATTATAATTTTAATTTACAGATCATATCTATTTTTTTAAGATAAATTTAAAAAAATATCCATTCCATAAATAACGTAAAAAGTATAAGCAACTTGTTTGAGATCGTAAACTTTTAAACAATAATAATATTTTTTTCTAAAAATTTTGACAAATATTATATTTATAAATACTTTGAACAAATATAAAATATGTTTTTTTAAATTATCAAGACTGTACTGAAAACTAATATAGTTATGTAAATATATTACACTCAGTACATATATTATATTAAAGAATTAGCATAAAAAATCATGATAAACCTGAAGTGTGTTTTAAATAATTAAAATAAAGTTTATAAATTCAAAATTAATAATGTTACTTTAATACATTTATTTTTACAATATTAAAATCAATATTCACTCTAAATTAGTATGATTTTTATTGTTTCAAAATGTACGTATATAACTCTAATTTGACAATTATTTAAATACTATTATAATATTTTATAAGACAAGTTTCAGTTAAAACAAACTATCACAATATTTAATCACATTAACTAATATGTTAAGTTACTTTAGATAGTTAATTAAAATTCAAGATCTATGATAAATAATTAATATATATGATATATTAGCTATTATATATTAAATTTATAACACGCAGGTTTAAATAAATTGTATTAAATACTACAATATTATTAGTGCATTACTATACCATAACATAGTAATATAATTATTAATTACTTATTTTGCTCAATAAACAAATTCTAGTGTAAACTTAAAATTATCAAATAATATTTTCATATAAAAATAAAATTATTGAAATATTATTATTAACTATCAAACGATAATGTTTATTAAAATACGTTATTAATGTTTTTGATTAGTTTGAAAATTCATAATCTTCAATACTAAAATAGTTGAAAAATTTAATTAAATTAATACTAAACAATTATAATAAAAAATCAAAAAACATTTGTATTTTATGTGTTAACATTTTATGTAGTGTACACCGTACAGAGAATATAAACTTACGGGTCAATTTTGAAACTAATTGATGCTATAAAATAGCGGATATTGTCAAAATAAAGAGCTTTTGGTGTTAAGAAAGGAGTTAACGTAATTTTATGTATTCTAATAAAATTTTTAACGATCTAATTTTTAATCAATTTATATAATTACTTTTTTTAAATTATTATTCTCAAATATTTATTGAAGTAATAAATTGGAATAGAATAATTTATTAATATTGAATACCTAAGGTTAATATCTTAATAATTTAATAAAATTATTAACTTTAATACTTTTTTATCTAGTTGTACTTGATTTGATTATATACCTACCTATATATTATAATTATTTAATTAATATATTTCCATACGGACATCACTTAGATTAAAAAAAAAAAATAGATAACCATTCATTAGATGAATAGTAATTATTTGAAGTTGGATAAAATTTTATACTCATAATCAATATTTTTTTTAATGTTGATTTTCCTATTTGTTGTATTCGATTATTTAATCATTATTTTAACAATATGAACAAGTTAACTACCTAGTTATATCGCTATAATAGTTAAGAATATCAAATCTTGTTATAAAAAATATATTATTTCAAATTAGTATTATATAGATATTACTATAATAAAATTTAATATTGTATAGATAGCTAAAAACTTTTCTACGTCTTACTTTATTATTTTATCATGTTTAATTTTATGTGGTAAACAAAATTTATAAAAAAAAAAAAAACACTTAGTTTATACAAATATAAAAAATTCGTGTTGATAAAATTGTATAATATAATCAAAGTTGGACAAAGAGACGGTAAACAAAGTTATTGTCAATTATTATATTATGTTAACAAAAATAAAATGTATGACAATTTTCAGTTGCTGTCGTAGTGGCGTTTTTCATCTGCTGGGCCCCGTTTCATGCGCAAAGGCTAATCGCCATATTCGGGTTCAGTCACGCATCGTCCGGTAACTTGGACGAGAAGGATATACCGTTTCTACATCAGCTGTACGGTATTTCCACTTACATCTCTGGCGTTCTCTATTATGTATCCACCACCATCAATCCAATATTGTACCATATCATGTCATTGAAATTCCGAGGAGCTTTTAAGGTATGTAGGTAGTTACCAACGTTACCATTTTGGCCATTAACGTGGGATTTGTGTATATAATTAATTTATAGAAACCAATATTAAGAGTATTACAATTTTAACGTAACTATAATACTCATAAATAATAATTTAGAAGAGAAATATAAAAATTTTAAATTATTATTATATATCATCCGCTATTATTATTAGCTAAACTGCTAAACTAATGAAATAATTAATTAGTGTCCTGAATGAAACAACATTTTCAATTAACCTATTATTTACAATATTTAATTTTTATTAAATTATAAAAAAATGTAGGAATAATTTATCAAAAAAAAAAAAAAAAAAAAAAATACGATTTGTGTTTTGTTTAATTGTATGTTACATTTACACATGAAAATCCAATTATCAAAATGTTGATTGATATTTAAAAAAAAAATATAAGTGACAAATAATATGTGTCCCTAATTTGTTATCTGTCATTATGGAGAATAAATTTAAATTAGTTTTTAGGGGTAAGTCGTAACGCAAACTGTAGATTACCTAAATCTCATGTACCATTATAATAAGTAAATATTTAGTCAGCAGATTGATATAAAAGATATTTAAGTATCTATGCGCAAATATGCTTGCTTTTGGTATACTTTTAAGTCTAGTTAAATATATCTTCTTATATAGTTCATTTATCTACAGAATAGCATAAAAAACACGTGATAATTTAATATTTTGACAAATATTCTACAATTTATTATTATACGAACTTATAAAGCACAATAACCATAATTGGCTATTTTTAAGTTTCAATCAACCGATTAATTATTGTTGTGTACTTCATTGAATATTCAAGAAACACATAAAAGTTGCTACCGAAAAAGTAAATTTGCTAAAAGATACAATTTAATTAAAAAAAAATTTTTAATGGGTTAAAATAAAAAATATACACACGTCTTATAACTTATAAGTAACTCATAAATTTATTTAAAAACTTTAATAATTCATGGTTATAACGTTACTAAATGCAAAACATTAAAACAATTTTTATATATTTTACTTAAACGGCTAGACCGTATAATTTAATAATATATTTTCACATTGAAACGATTAAATATAAAAGCTTTTTTGGTAATAAAAATAAATCCTGAAAAGTGTATTTATAAAATAAATCGTGAATAGAAGTTTTATTACTTTAATTTGAATTAATCAATAAACATCATACAATATTTAAATTCGAGAAATAGCGAATTCTCATTAGCTAAAGAATTTCAATCTCTGAAAAGGCAGTAAACATTTTCTTGTCTAATTTTAAATGCAATAATAAATTATAATTACTGTGGATCACGATTTGAAATAGAAAATTTTACAAATACCTCTGTAATAGCCATTAATAGGGATACAATATCCCAGATCCCTTGATATTGTATTTTATCAATTGATTATTATTTATGTGTTGATATGGTATTTAAAATTTATTTTTTACGTAAAATATTGACAGATTCAAGTTTGAATAATTACTCCATAACAATAATGAATTGAAAAAATAACAGTACTTTTGAATCCATAAAACTTTTTTTTCATTATTTTATTATCTATACAAAACACGTACAATTAATATTATTCATACAAACAATTTCCATTTAGGAACTGAGTATTTTTAACAAAATATTATATGTTTTATTGCAAATTCGTCCAAAGTAAATCTATCTCTAAATATCTTTCTTTAAGTATATACATTTAAAGTAACTTAAAAATAAGTTATTAAAATATAAAATCGTGTTTAGTATGTTAAATCTTTTTTTCTACTTATTATAACATATTATCGTTGGTAATAGTCAATGTTACACTATTATCTATTTCAGAGACCGTGTTGCCAAAAAGAGTTATTAGTGTACTACCTAGTACCTAGTCACAAAATTACTGTTAATAATAATGATAATATTATCGTATTATCGTCTATTTTATAACGTTCAATGAGGTTTTTACTTTAGATTTTTAATAAAAACTCCATTAAATCTAAATAAATTAAATAGACATATCACGTATCCACGCTGTTTCTTCTCATCATCCACGTATATCATTTTTAACATATCAAAAAACCTACGCAACTATAGTTAAGAGTTAAAATAATATAAAATACATGTTAATTATAGGTACATTTTTAAATTCCTTGTCATAATTATATATTTGTACAATTATCACTTACCTGCTCTTAAATATATGATCAGTAAATATAATTAGCACTAAAAGAACTTAAAATATGTAATTTTCAAGGATCTGACTAATATTTATATTTATTTTTTACATATTTTATATGCATAATCATGTTTTGGACTTTAATCGTAAATGCGTAACTGACTATAACTTAAAAAATAAATCTGGGAAATTGAAATGACCTATAAAGTTAAATGTCTTCTGAAACCTGACCATGAATACTGAGTATATTTAAATTAACTGTAAGTCATGTTACATAATAATATAGTAACCATTACATTAAACCTACTCATATTATTTAACCACACAAAAATTTTAATGCGGTGAAAATGTAATATATGAATATTTCTTTTGCTATAATATTATATGAATAAGAATACAAGAATGTTATAAAATAACACAAAAATCATAATTTTATACATATTTTTATAAACATTACGTAATAACTAATAATACATTATTAGTGTGGTGATTCACTCGATGAATTAAAACATAAAATTAAAAATATTTCAATTATCAGATAAACAAAATAAAAAATATAATAGCAGTCTTCTATATCTTTTGCCATAGCCTAAACCATAAAATCATCACTAGAATTAAAAATTGTATACTATTATATTATATACATGGGTTTTAAATAGATAATAATGAACTCAACTCTTAACATTTTTACCTAACCTTGTGTTATTACAGCCTTCTATGTATTGTTGAAAACCTTTTTAATTGGTCGTACATTTAAATTGCTATATTAAAATCATAGTATTATACCTACAATAACTTAATTTTTTTTTTTTTTTATTTATTTAATTAAGGCATTCTTAGCTAGAATAGCTATACAATAACTTCAAAAATTAATTATCTTGTAAGTATCTATGACGTGTAATAAATCACAATAATTTAATAATATATACTTGCAACATACTCATTACAATTTACAAGTAATATAGTTAGATTACTTATTGATCATGTAATTTTTTTCATATCAATCATATCATAAGTCAAATAACATCAATTATTATGAAAAATATCCGTGTTATAAAATATGCAATTTATACCAAATAATCATACGGCATATCGTGATTATTAATTGATTTGACTAATTAACATACATTTTTAAACAGTTTTTTCCAAATAATTTACCTATCTATAGAAATCAAAATCATTAAAAATATTATGTTAACGTTTATGAAATATATTTTAAAACTACAAGCCTTATGTCAGCTTATGATTACTTGAGTAAACATAAAGGTTTATAAAGAAACAATATACAACTGTTTCCTTAAAATTATTAATCATTTCTGGCGAGCAACAAACACAATGGATTTATTTTGAAGCACAAACGAATTTATACAAAACCTTAAAATCCAGGGATCTTAAGACCCATAACCGTATAGAACTAATTACTATTTAGTACTGTGGACTTACTTATTATTATAAGCAAACAATTTATCAAACTTTGTACCTACTTAATGTGGTTTAAAAGTTTTTACATGCGACGAGAAAGCAATAGTAAGTTTTATGATATAGTTATTGTATAAATAATAAAGTGTGTGATATATAAATATGGCGTTATTTTAAGAACAATTTGTAGTTATCGTGAAAGTAATGATAGAATTATAATACCGTCTTCATTCGCCTAATACTAATTTATGATGTATACATGTAACTTACGTTTGCTTACTTTAAAATTCTGAATAGAGCAATGAATGTATTGGATTTTTGGCTTTACAATGACATTTTCTTTTATTATTATTCTTGTGTGTGTGTGCGTGTATGTGTGTGTGTTTCATCACATTTCGTAATAGAAAAATATTAACAATACAAATGTATATATACGACGTTATGGGAAACAATTTTTAGTTCAACTTATTATATTACAGATAGTAATATAAATGAATCATAAAATATCCTTAGTGATATAAAACCTTTTTAAATGCAACACACAGTTTACGTTCAAAGTCGTTTTTCATACGCAATAATTTATCATTGAAATTTTCAATTTAAATTTAATGGATCCATTACAGTGAGTTACTCAATGATAAGATAGATATCAAAATATCGAAATCTACTATACAGCAGAGTGATGTTGTTATTTTTTAAGTATTAAAAGACTCAGCTAAGTCCATTTCACAAAATTGAATCCATTAGGAATATGCTTAATAATAATATTGAAACACACAAAAAATGCAAAACTTTAAAACAGAATACTGTGCTTGTGTTTTGTACCTTCATACAATGTTTGACAAACTTATAACAAAATGCGCACTGTTGTTAAAAAAAAGTCTAGTAGTGATTTTTTTAATAGGCACATTTCGTAGAAAATAGTAATTCGTATTATTGATGTTGTCAGGTATTTTGTTGAACTTACATAAAATTGGTACCTATTAAAATTAAAATTGTTTAATTATGATTTTTTCTTACATTAAAATGATTGGAAGGGGTGATTTTCTGTCTTTGTCTAACACACGTGTAACATAGGATTATAGACGTGTTTTATTTCCAACGTACCGATTTATATAATGAAGCGACAAGAATTATGAAAACAGATATAAATTTGTGGTCAAGTCTACTTTAGATAAATTTTTCACATTTTTGATTTTTTGATTTAAACTTCTCCAAAAATCGAAATATGTTAATTTTTTAATTACTCTTTTAATCATTTTTAGGGTTTTTTTTTGGGAGGGAGTAATATCAAATATGTAAGAAATTCGATCTAAAGTAGACTTGACGATAAATTCATATCTGTTTTTATAATTCTTATTGCTTCATTACATCAATCGGTACGTTGGAAATAAAATACGTTTATAATCCTATGTTACACTTGTGTTAGACAAAAACAGAAAATCACCGCTTCCAATTCCCTTAAGATTATGATTGGTCTATATCAGATTTATTAGAAATTTCTAGTAATTAATTTTTGTATAAAATTTTAATTGATTTGATATATTTTACTTGTTATTGAAATAAAAATCAATTGTTATATAAATGTAAGAAAAATTATAGGCCATTAATTTTCATTTTGAATACGTTGCCAAAAAAATTTGATTTGTTTAAAGAATGATTGATTTCAAAACATAACATTAGGTATAAAGACACATTCGGTTTTTAAATGTTTTGAAAATGCTAAAAATACAGTTATATTTAAAATTCGTTTTTAAAGAATAATGAATATTGTAGATCAAAAGATATATTATAGGCACACACATATTATCAATTTCAAGATTACAACTATTTACATTTTAAACATTTTATTTAATTATTACGTTTATAGCAAAACATTGCGATATTGAGTACTGTGCATTGTCATTATATGGTTATTACTTTTATTACTTGATAATCAGAATATTTTGTCAGGGATACAACACACAACGGTTATATCAAGTGTAAATACATAACACGGATGATAAAAATAGATGAGTGCATTACATTATTTACTATTACTAGCTTCAGCCATGTTCTTAGGAAATAAAATATATACATTAAATGGCATATTTATACAATTGATGACGAAGTTTGTAATACATCTTATTCCTTGTCGGTCAACTGATGATAGTATTAAATTTACATAAATATATACAGATAGTCAACATTATTCTTCTCACTCATGTGCGAAGACATCTCCAGTCCACAGCTCTATACGTTTAGCATAATTTAGAAATATTTATTATAATACATTTTTGCTTAAATCCATCAATCTTTGGTACCTATATAATACATTACAGTTTTCATTTTAAAAGACTTCAGAATTTTGTTGTATGACTAAAATAATACAACGTCGTCCGTTCAAATATCTTAGGCTTATGAATTTTGAAAATCCTCCTCACTTAATATTACTTTATTAATTTTATGGTAAGCATTATAAAATAATAGAAAAATTACTATTAAAATAATGTATTTCTAAACAGTCCGTTTAACTTAGATGAGTTATAATATATACATACATACGCGATAATAATTTGCATTACCAATGCATGGAATTACGCTTAAAATTAGCAAACTGCAATCATAAATCGTCAAATCATATAAAATTGGTTATAAAATCATTGTATAACCATATAGATAAAAAAAAATATATTAATATAAACAGCGGGGCTATTTTAAAGTTTTTTTCATTTTTTTTAATCGTTGGCTGTTGGGTAGGTATTTTAAACTAATTTATTTTTACCGATTTGTTATTAATTACTAACTCTATAATAGTTCGATAATGTCCATCACGACAATTAATATTACAGACGATATACTATTACTATTATATTATTTTAACGTACTGTATAGCATGGCGTAATTTAAATATAATTGACTTGAAATAGGCAAACCGATATAACCGAATATATTCCACAGTATATTATCTTTTCTTAGTTGCTCTATGCCTCTATACATTATATACTATATAGGTATTATATTATGTATATATCAACCAAATGGTCAGCTTTACGACGACAAATTTTTATTAGTATTTATGAGCGTATCATATATTTTTATTTTTTAATATTAATATTTTATGCAAAGCGTTTAATTGATTTATATTTTTTAAGATTTGGGGCTTTCACTGCAATCTTCTGGCCGCAGTAATTATCAATAAACTAAAATTTGAGTTCAGCAAAATTAGTTTTATGTTTTTTAGCTGAAAATATATTAGAGTAAATTACTTTATAAACAAATATAAAAGTAAGAAAATAATTTTAAATTTTTCCGATATTTTAATTTTATAAGCAAGATATGAAAAATGTAAAATATTAAAAATTAATAATGATCGCATATTTCGCTTAAAAATTAATACACCGTAAAAAAATTAAGCATAAATGTCATTCTTACCAATGAGTTTTATATAATAAATCAATTCATTCTAATGTTTATAAGTTAAAAACACAAAATCGGTTCTGCAGAACTCAGATTTGACATGTTTTACGTTTGTAAAACGGATGCAACAAATGCATGATAGATTATGTGTAACGTCTTTTTTAGAGGACGCCTCGACTACATTTGTTGCTTCCGTTTAACAAGTGCGTAATATAGTAAATTTACGCTCAGCAGTTCACGTTTAGTTTCATCGGTTTAAAAATGTATGTGAATCCACTGATTTGGAACTCGATGATGAGAACATCTTATGTGTTCACATGTCAGTTTTTAACGATAATTCGATTGTTTTTAAGAGAGCGCACGGAGAATCTTCTTACAATTAAATAATTTCGTCGTCTAGTTCGCTGTAATCTTCAAGTTGATAAAGCTAAACGCTCACTGCTGATCGTAAATCGACTACGATATATATAATATTAAGCTTATATGGTTAAATGCAAACGGTAAATGCGTATAAATGCAAGTGTGCAAGCGTCCACGCTTTAACGCATCACCGCAGCTACGGTTCTAATAGCTTTCAATCGGTCCCCCACGTTCACTTGTACTTGCGATGTTAACAGAGAAACAGTGTTTTTTGTTGTGTACCGACAGGAAACGGTGTTACGGTGTTGTGGCGGCGACAGCGGTTGCGGCGGCGACGGATGGCCCGGAAAAGGCAAACAGCAGCGTCCGTCGCGTTGGGCGCGGAGGAGGAGGCTTCACAGCGACTCGTCTGAACCGGCCACCGACGACCGCCGACCCAAGTACAGACGGGTGTCCGGACGGACGACGTCGTCCATCGACTTGCCCGTCACCGTCACCGCCGACGACGACGACGTCGACAACGAAGTTTGCGGCGGGGGCAGCCCCGGCTCCGACTGTTGGCGGCGGCGGCGGTCGCTGACTGGGTTGTCGGCAACCGGAAGTGCCGAGCGACGACACGACAGCAGCTGCAGCAACAGCGCCGGAAGTAGCGGAGGGAATTGCGACGAGTGCAGCTCTGCCACGTCGGACGGTCCGGCCGACGCCCGTGGACGGGGTCCGGAAAAAGCGCCGCCGGCGATAGCACTTAGCAACTGGACAATGATCAGCAACAGCAGCCTCAAGGACGTGGATAGCGACGGTCTGCGCGACGAGCTCGTCGGTTACGCGACCACGGCCGGCGAGACCAAGTATTATTAAGGGGCGATATAGCTGGGTTTGTACCCCGCAAGCGGAGTAGGTACGATTTTACGCGTACCGAGAATATTGTCATGTTATATTTTTAAACGACTGGCAACGGTCGTCGGGGCGAGTGCAATAGTTTTTGACAAAAAACTTAACATTCCGTTTGGGCTATAGTGGAATTATTTTTACCCTCGTGAACGATATTTTCCGTGGAGTAGGTATGGATGACGTAATATAATATGATGTACGCGTAATTTTATTTTATTAATTTCTTAATGTGCATACGTTTCTAGATTAAAACATTATAATACCGATATCTTTTTAATGTTAGAATATTCCTTATTGATTGTATACATTTTTCATCGTATGTGATTTTATTTTTTTCCAATTAAAACTGTACATTTGCTATATTATAATACAGTAAAAACAAATTATTACCTATATAAACCTACTCATACTAATTCGCCCAAACGGTATTTTTTATGGAATAAAAACTCATCTAGACGATACAAGTAACTGTTCGCCCAAATGGTCTATGCCCATTTATAGCTCGCGTTTCGCGTTTGTTTGTGTGTGTAATAACTTGTGCATGAAAAAGATATTATCTATCCGATAGCTGAAGATACATTATTTTTTCCTAACATCAGTCATCAATAGGTTTTTTCCCCTTATAATGATTGTACAAACAAAATTATAATGCATCATTCATGTCATTATAGTGTTGTAGCGTCGTCATATTAATTAATAATTATTATATAATATACAATGCTATAATATTATAAAAAAAACTGTTTTTTTTTTCAAAAGTATTTTTATAAAATACATTGAGTTTACCTTAAATAATCAATTATCACATAACATTTTTCCATTTAATTCTCCAACCACTTTAAATAAATAAAACTTATATTATGTGAAAATAAAATTTAATGGAAGTTTCTTAGAAAAAGAAGAATAAAAAATAAAATAATAAATGATATTTATATACAGGATTATGTTAATATACAGGATATAGAAAGTATACCTGGTTAAAAAGATTTCTACAAGATGCTCAAAGGTTTGCTCTAAGTCTTCGACTAGTTAGACCTAAACAAGTTATAAATGATATGTAATGGAAACTCCATTAATATTGAAATATGTACCCAAAGATTTTGATGAAGAATAAAGTAGTCAAAAAGTATGTATGATTACTAATTTATTATAGTCTCCATTCATCTGTGCATTTTCAAAATAGGTTATCTACATATAACTCTACGTGTAATCATAAATACTATCATATTACCATCTCATTAAACTATTAAATCTTAAAATACATTTTTTACATCCACTAAAAGTCCTGTTCACGTATTCCTTAGATCTAAGACTATAAAGCTTTGACTGGTGAAAAATAATAGTAAATAAGTACAATTTTAGCGCAATAAAAATATTTTTATAACATGAAATTTATAATTGAAGGAATGGATGTTGAAATAGTTGTAGCCCAAGAGCGACAAATCACTAAATAAGATTATGGATATTAAATGTACCTTACTACCTCATCATAAAGTAAATCACAGTAAATGAGTTTTATTCAATGATGAATCATTGCATGCAAATTGTAAAAATGATTCTGAGTAGTGACAATTTGTCAGCCTATAAAAAGTAATAATAATAATATATTTATAAAAATATACAAATAAGTATTTTAAATATACAAACCAAAAGTTTCTTTTTTATTGATATAAAAACCTTCTGTACAAGTGCTCAGATTTCCAGCTACGAAAACTTATCCATAAGGAATCGAAAATCTTCATTAAATAACTAATATCATAATTAAGTTTCCCCAACCACGTTACAAGTTTTAAATACTCTTGTAAAATAATTTTAAATTACAATAGAATAACTAATATCATTATTCTCTATTTAAATTATAATAATTAAATAATTTTTTTTTTTTTTTTTTTAATTACAGTATGAACTGCTTATGAATAACCTTGTATTAAATTTTTAAGATTGTTAAAAAAAATTTTCTTGACATTTAATGAAAATAAAAATAATCGAAAATATCAAATGTCTATATATGTATAACTAAAAAAGCGTCAAAAGTTGAAATTTGAACTAAGCATTTTCTCAGTTTTCTCTATTATAAATCATGTACACACTTTATATCACTGAACAATAATTTGTCCCACCAATGTTACCTACTAAATAGTTTTTCTAAAACATGGAACATCATTGATTAATTTACATACGTATATGATTAACATCTTTTAAACCATTTTCACTCCACAATAATGTCTTTTTAGATACGTTTTATTAACATCTCTTTTTAACATTCCTTCAAAAATTACACATCAATGTTTTATAAACGTTAAATAATTACATAATTTATATCTCTATAACATCAATTAAGGTTGCCTAGGTGTTTAAAAGTAATCTTCTCTCAATACAACCATTTAATTTTTCTAATAACTGTAATATGGATATGTTATTAAAAAAAAAATAATAGGCATTCACTTATATTGTATATTTACTCGTATTTGTAAATATAAACTCGTAGCACTCATTTTTAACATTGAATTTTTTATAATATATACTAATAAAAATATTATTAAAAATATTTTTTATAAATGTATAACAATTTACTGTAGAAAACCATTTATTAGTACTTAACTATAAGTTCTAATAATATAAATACTGGTAAATACAGAATAAAATAAAAAAATAATACGTGTAAATTATCTTGTATATGTTGAATCAACTTAATCTTAGAAAAAAATTAAAACAAAATATAGATACCATCTATATTGCATATAGTCTAAAGAATAAATTAGTACTAAATTGTTTGACAGCCCAATATAAAAACCAATGAAATATAATATCAGTTAAACTTGCACAAAACAATTCAGTTATTTTATTCTTTAAAAAATATTACAATCTGTTTTATTAAAACAATAAGTAAGTATACTACAAGTTTATATATTTTACGTCATATAAAAAACTTTGGGAAGAAATTTGTTCTCTAAAAACATCTCAGAATATTTATTTTAATTTTTATTGTTTTAATTTTTTTATTTATATATATTTTTTTTTTCTATAGTAAATTATATGTATATTAATACGCTGTTGCTCATCATACATAAAATATACATTGTAGAAATGTTAGCAAACATAAAATGTTCAACAACAAAAAAAGTACACATATCGTTAAATCAATATATTAATTCATTCATTGATCTATTCAAAATCTAAAATTGTGTACTTATTCATTATCATATTTATATAATAAAAATGTATTACAAGAAATTAATTAAAATATTGGCAACAATATTATTTTCGTTTATAATGAAACATAATAAAAACAATTGTTGACTTAAACTTCATTCAAGCAACCCAATATCAGTTTACATTATGTTAAGGGCAATACATCCTATAGAGTAGAGTAAACTATAAATTTCAATACAAAATAATGAAGGTACAACACCAAATTAGATCATAAAACTATACTTTACTAAAAGACTAAAAAGTGTATAATTAATATAACATTTTATGAAGTTTATATATTATGAATGTTTTATAATAATTATGAAAGTGTAGGTGTAATATTTATTTTAGAAAATAAATTTTTGGTAGTCGAGTTAGTTGTTACATCGAATTACCTATATACTACATTAATTATACTGTAACTCTATAACAGTTACAACTTTTAAAAACTTTAATTTTATGTTTTTAACTAAAAATTATTTAATATTTTGTTACTGGTAACTTTAAAGTGTAGTGTCGTCTATCACCATAGTTAGTGCTTACTCAAACAATTTTAGCTAAAAGTAATATTTTTAAATTTAAATGATTCTTTAGTAATCACTTATTATTATTATTATTATTTTTGTTGATATGAAATTTTTAATCTATTTTTTTAATTTCTAATATAGAACAGAGCAAATTCTCAGATTTTTTCCAATTTTTTTTTTTTGGATTATGTTTGCTGTCAAAATAAAATAGCTGCAATTCCACATCCTTTATAAAAGTAAACTTTTATGAAACCCGTTTACAATATTATTATTTCTGACAGAAAGATAAGAAACAATTTTTTATTTTTTGTTGTACACTGTAATACATAAACATATTTATATTATACAAAAAAAAAAAAATGTAGATAAATAAAAAACGTAATTGCTTATACTAACAGAAATTATAAAAATTACGTAGGTTAGAATTATTATAGTAACTATACAGTGATTCTACCACGACGCAACTGTTTGATCATCTAACTCTTTTCTAAAATTTTTAAAAACGAATTTTGTTACTTTATTTTATAGACTAATTTATAGTCTTTCTGGATCTAACAGTCAGTCAATAACAATAAACTGAACCTACATCGTTATTGATCATTAATCACATATAATATACTTGTCTTATAATATTTTAGTACACTCATGGGCACAATTAAAGGGGAGTGCTTAGCTTCCCCAGTTTTATCCAAAGCCCCCTAATTTTTAAACGATTTTACTAAAATCTTTTTGAAATTATTGAGACCTTTTAATTACAACTGACAAAATAATTTATTGATGTTTATTAATTACACGTCTTTTACAGCTTATCGGTTATATTTTTTCTAATAAGTATTGTATTAATTTTTAGATTTATACTCGAATGACAAAAAAAAATTCAATTACTGTGAAGGTTGATAAAGTTTAAATTCTACGAGTATATTCTATATTAATCGATAATTTTATCGAAAAAAAAAAATTCATGACACTTGTGTATAGCTGTGTAATAGGTTTTAAATTGTCTGTTTAGTCTTTACCCTGTACTTCGTAGTCTGTACTCAGTACGAGTTGTTCCACTGAACATTGTGATAAATTATTAATCGAGTGTTTGCTTTTTAGTGTCATATTCATAGTAATTATCATTTTTATTCTTACTGTGAAATGTAATAGTTTATTTTTTTAAATTACAATAGATAGAAGAAAAATATTTAATATTTTTTAATTTCGTAAAGTTACTAAAAAAGAAAATTTTCCTCTTACAAACAATGTGGATATTCAAGAACATAATGATCAACAACTAGACGATCCAGATTAATGTTGTTCTCAAACAAAAACTATTAAGAGCAAACCCATAGATAAACCCTTTTTACTTGTATCTAGCTCAACGTTTGTAATTAATTTAGATACAAGTCTATTTTTCGATATCGACTCGGGCCTTATAAGACCTATTTTAAAAGTAAGTAAATAAACTTAGTTGTAGAGTTATACTTATGATTAAATTGTATGTCATTAAAATTAATAAAGTACATATAACATATAAAATAGAATATTTTTTATAAAGATGAAATTAAATAATCAACAGAAAGTTCAGAATTTCTAATTTATACAGATTTTCAGATAAAAGTTTATTAATGGCAAGTTCAAGTGATTTATTTTGTAATTTAGATTTTGGCATATCCAATTTCATTGTACTTCATTTATCATTATAAGATAGTACAAATAATAGATAAATACAGAATTTTTTAATAAATTCTAATATAATACAGTAGAACCTCGATTATCCGTCCCCCAATTAACCGTCTTTCTCGGTTAACTGTCAGGCCACCACTTGTGTATGAGTAGGTTATAAATAATAATATACATAAATGTTATCCAAAACTTTCCAGCAATATCTACTAGATAAGTGTATAAGCGATAAGCGATAGATATTATATATGTATATACATGTATATATATATATTTAATGGGTGAAGTAAAAAC